AGTTCATGTTGGTCGATTGAATTTATGTTAGTAATGTCATGTTTGACCAATGTGCTACTTCGCAGTCAATATTCTAGAGTAGGTTCCGAGCACTCAACGTCAGCGAAGGTCCAATGGGCTCAGCTGAGCAAGCTGCACTGTCCCATGTTCCAGTAAGAGAGTCGGCACTTGGTTCGTGCAACCCTGCAAACCAGGGCTTAAACAGTAATAGCAGGGTCGGTCGCTGCCATATTAACGAGACCGCGGCTGTCATAAAACCCAGACTGCAGCCAGAAATTGCATCGCGCGACATTGTAACGCTGCATGTTCTCATCCTCTACCCCGAGGTCGATCACGTTATAGTCCTTGGGTTGCAGAAATAACAGCAATTTAACAGTCTTCTTCCTGAGAACCCCTGCTTGTATTCTCCTAATGTCGGGCTCTAGCACCCTATCTGACCCAAGCATAGCCAAGACGCAGACAGCAGTTCGCGGGACTTGCTGACATGCCCCTCATCTTGGCCTCTCTTCGTGGAAGTTGAGAATCGCTGCCAGGCCTTCACTTTTCCGGTCGCAGCGTACTCGAGAATCCTGGCTCTTAGCCGTTGCCCCCATGCTCTGTCTTCTTCTGTGAAGTTGTACAAGAAATGAGGTTGCAACATGGCAAACTCATCCATTGCGTGGAAAGCAAAGCGAGGGCAATACAGCGGCTTCATCTTTGTAAAGTTTGCAATGACGCAGAAGGGTTTGCTGAGATGTTTGGATGCAACATATGAGAACACGGGAGCTGCGCTCCTGGGGCGATGTGCATCCATGACCCCTGCAAGATAGAAATTGGGACAAATGGTAGTCATGTCACTGAGGATTTCGGCATATTTCCGCTGTGGTTCCCAGTCGCTGGAGAGGTTGCCAGTGAGACCGTACAGTCTCCCGAGCTCCTCCACAAACGCAGGCTCCTGAGACCTGCCAGCGTACCTTGCCAGGAGTTGCATCAGCTGGCTTCGAGTGAAGCGCCGAACATCTTGGCCGGGTGCAAAATCACTCTCCTCGCGAGTAACCCCGAGAATTGCCGGCACAGCTTCGTGCTTGGAGTCTTGAAAGGCTTGGAGATAGCCCCGTGGCAAGATGCCGCCCTCACCATCAACAAGCAACAAAGGCGCATATTGCCAGGTAGGAGTGAAAATCTCAAGCGACCAAACGTCCGCATGCCAATTGTCGGGCTGGGCTTGCAAGAGCTCCCCGGCAGACAGGTGCAGCAAACAGTCCAACAACTCTTTCTCCCTTCGTTTCCGAAAGCCGATCTCAGCGCAGCGACTTCGCACCACAACCTCTCTGTGCCAATACTTGGCTGCTTCCACTGTCGTACTATTCAGCTTTGGCGATCCACTCATGCTTACACCCCTGTGGAAAAGACCTCAGGGCTTGAGTACCCTGGCCCGAAAAGCATTAACTTTCTTCATTCTACAAACCACAAAAAGTGTTGAAGGTGACGTATTCAGCTACTACCCAGACCACCGGAAGGATCCAAAAGTAGATCCACTAATTTGGGACCCTCTACTACTAAAGACTACTTTATAGCGACCCTTCTTAAAGGATCTACTTTTTGGATCCTTTCGGGGGGCCTGGGTAACCCCAAACAAAATGGACATGGTTACCCTGAGCCCCAAAACCCCAAGCCCAAGACCTAAACTTTGGGAACCTCAACTCCCAAAGGAAAGCCCTAACCCTAAACCCTCTACGAAGCCTCTCGCGGCCGGGGACGCAAGTAGCGCCAGCACCAGGGATCCTCCAGAGCTCTGCCCCCAAACTGTGACCTGCTCCGGATCACCTGGCAGGGATCCTGAGGTTTGGAAATTTTAGAGTTTTAGTTTAAAGGTTCGGGGCTTCAGGGTCTCGGGTTTCATGGTTGAGTTGAAGGTCTACAGCAATGACGAAAAGAAGGTTCGTGATTTGAAGAGGTATCATCTGGAGGCCTAGGGGCCCTTCTCATAGAGTTCTGGCGGACGTATTTTTGGGGCAGTGTTGGGGCACTCCTCACCTCCGAAGGCTCTGATGTTGCCTTGGATCCAACGAAGCGCCTCCAAGCAGTCCAGGAGGCCATAATTCCCGGAGGTGCCCCGCACGTCGTGGTGGGAGAGCGATGCCAAAGACAGGAACCCGGCTACTCCCAAACGGTACTGCACGGAGACGACAACGACGTCGTTCTCCGAGGTCAGGTTGGCTTGAGCTCCATAGCCAGACTGTAACGAAAAGGGAGAGCCCTCCAGGAGGCCGCCGCCATGGAGCCAAACAAGCACCGGCTTCAGCTTCCAATCTGTCGCAGAACTAGTGGGGTCTGAAATCTTTGAAAGCTCCAAATTCTTGGTGTGGACATGAAGGCGCAAGCAATCTTCAGAGCTCTGCACTCCGTGGCTGAAGTGGCTTCCTTGCAGGCACGCAGGCCCAGGCTTGCTGGCATCCAACTGGCCCTTCCAGCAGTCGGAACGTCTCCCGGGAGAGGTGCCAAGGCCAACTGGAGGCTGCCACCTCCGAACTCCAATGGGGGGCAGCGCATACGGAATACCAAGAAAAGCCGCAGATTCCGACGCGGCATCGACGGTGCCCCGGAGGGCTCCACATGTCACTGCCGTCACTGGTGCCTCATCTCTTGCCGTGGCTCCGATGGCAGCCGAGAGCCAGACCACCAAAATGATCAAACAACTTTGCTCCATGGCCATGCGCAAGCCTCTTTACCTTGAAGAAGCGATGTCAGGCCTCAAACTGGGAAGAGCCGAATTCGATTGTAGCCTACAGCCATTTATAAGGATACTCTGATATAGGGACCTAAAATAGCTAGAATCAGGTCTCGTTGTACAGTGCAGAGATAGACCGGAACCTGATTGGCTCTGTATGGCCTTTGGAACTCTATTAGGAATGGTTCGAGTGCTAACATCCTTCACTGGAGTTCCCTACTATGGTTATAGTGTTTATGAGCACATCGCAGCCAAGTTTCAGCCGAGAGGATTTATGTTGGACGACTTGTGCACGATACACGGACAGGGTTGCGATGTTCTGGTGGCATGCAGAAACGACTTCCACTTGTGCCCTCTTTGGGCAATTGGCCATCTCCCGCTGCAGGCATGGGTTTCCAATTCTCTCTGCAATTTATCTATGTATACATACAGATACAGGCCATGTGTGTTTAATTTATACGTCCATTACATTATAGGCTGCTCTCCAGCGGTATGATGGAAGTGTGTGGCGAATCTTTTTTGTCGTGGGGTTTGACGCGATGCACAACGGACACGTCGGGGATGTCCGATATAAAAAAACTTGACGCGATGCACAACGGACACGTCGGGGATGTCCGATATAAAAAAAGGCACCATTCTGGTACATCTAGAACCCCTCAAGGGTAAAAAAAATATTAGGACAATCAACGTCGCAAAACATCAGGATCATTGTCACCTTCTTCCGTGATGTCCGGTGGCTTTGCCGGCTGGACAGGTAAAGGCGACAAGGGAAAATGAGCTTTGCTGGAAGCTCTTGGCTCAGCTTCCACATCCACTCCCACATCGGAATGGTGCTCAAAGCTCCTCTGGAATGTAGTTCTTTGAAAGGGCTCAACCTTCGACTTGATATGGATAGTTCTCTAAATCAGAGCCCCTTTTGGCAACCCAAAAGAAAAAAGGAGGCGGCTCCATTATAAAAAGGACTCTAAAAGGGGCCCTAGTTTAGAGAACTGCCCATATCTTTTCTCAGCCGATTCGGTGCTTGAATCCCTCCTAGATGGAAAGGTGTAAAAGCGCTCCTGAGCACTGCCAAGAAGCATAGTTGAGGTTGTAGTGCAAAGTCTCCTAGGTGGCAGTTTTTTAGAAGAGTTCTTGAATAAGTATCCCCTTAACCCGATAAAGGGAAAATCACAAATGTCCCGAGGGCCTACCTAAACAAACCCCAAATTAATTCAAAGTGTCGATCGTTTGTGCAAAGTCCCTGAACCTTACATCCTAAACCCGAAATGAGGCCAAGGTTCGAAAGTCTGTGCAAGATCCCGCTTGATTTGTACCACTGTGCTTTGGAGCGCCTTCGTGGCCAGCAATGCGGCCACTGTGTCCTGGGTTTTAGAACTAGAATTTCAAGAGGGTTTCGCAGTAGCAGAATGGGGTTTCGGGTCTTGGGTTTTTAGGGTTTCAGCACGGTTTCGGGGTAGAATAGATATAAGGACGCCTCAGGAGTAGGATTGGGTCATTTTGTTTGGGTTGACTTGAAAGGCTCCGATATCTAAAAGGCTGGGTCTTGTCGGCATGTGTTCTCGACACCTGCCAGCATCGGTAGAAACCAAAACAGGTTGACTTGGGAAAACTGCCAAACTCGCGGCAGGAGGTTATTGCTCAGAGAAGCACTCTTGGTGAGGTCGCCGCGGATTTTCAACATGCCCTGGACCAGCTCTTGAACCTGGGTGGGGTTTGGGCATGCAGGTTTTGAGGCTTCTTGCGAAGCTTTAGTGTTAGAGTTTAGGGTTTAGGGTTTTATGCCGGCATGAGAATGAGCCACCCTGTTCGCAAATAAACTCCTCAACAGAGAGTGGTGTCTGAAAATGTGACATGGTAGAGGCTTGCCTTGGACCTTACGCAACTTCAGAGCACTCGGCGTAATTGAAGTGCCCTGGAAGCCGAAAGGGCAAGTCTCGCGGTATGGCTGGGGGACATTGTCAAGGCATCAAGTGCCCTAATTAGTCCCCAAAACCCAAGGAGCATGGAGGGTGCCGTTCCCATCGGCATCGATGACTTCGAACCTGCAGAGGCTTTCGGGGTGCAGCGTTGAAAGTACTGGGCCTTTAACAAAATGGAATGAGGTTTGGGGTATATGTTAACATAAGTACAATGCACAGCACTCAGGAATCTTGATAATCCTTCAGGGCCCATATAATTTCTGTTCCAGTCCTGACAAACGAAGGGACCTCAAACAAGATTCTCAAGACACAGAGGCAGGGACCCAGATGCTTGCCCCAAAGCCAAGTGGATCCATTCAGAAAGGCTCCGACCGGTTTTGAGGTTACTGGAGACAGACCAAGGGACATGTTGGCCCGGTCTGGTGGTAGATCAAGCTCATCCATGAGCTGCTGCACACCTCGCACTTCGGGAGAGTTGCAGCCATGCGCCCTGAGCCCTTGAAATTGTGGGTTGGAAATACAAGGCCATAGGAACATGCACAAAAAATCAGAAGCCACTAGCTGCTTGCAAGAAGAACGCAGTTTGCCAACTGAACGCGGGTTTAATGGCCAGGCCTCTATCTTGAATGACAACGAGAAAAAGCTCCTTCGAAATCTCGATTTGATCATGAACATCATCGTCCGTGAATACCCCGGCTCGGTTGGAGGTATACTCCATGGAGGACATCATTTGCACGGCCGACGGTCCATGATCAGCGTCGCTGAGTTCCCGGTACGCAGTAGCGAACCTCTTGAGAAGTTCGCGAGCGCACCGAGCCACCCGAATGGACTCACGAGCATATTGCTCTGCGCTGTTAACGTCATTCTCTTTTGCAGCCCTCATGGTTATATCCACGTAGACAGCCAAAATCACGTTGAAGATGCCCATGGTGACCTTGTTCACTAAAACTCTTGGTTGCAAACAATTGCGACAGCAACCGAGGCTGAGACCAGCATATAGCTTGCAACATAAGGGATTATAAAGGTCAACCCGAACTTGGTCGCGAGAGCGTCGGTCATGGGATGTCCTGGAGGACAGTGGATTCCTTAATGCATTAGGACAGAAACCATTTTTTTCTCCAGTCCTTGGCTGCTGACACACTCGCCCGTGAAGCATCTGAAGGCGGTAAACATCGAGGCAGGAATCGTTCGGAAGTGAGGCCAAAGATCTCCATCGACTTCGAGCTGCCCGTTAAGGGCCATGGTGGCGAAGCCAGAGATGACGTAGAGGACGGCGAACAATAAAGTGAATGCGAGGACGAGAGTTCGTAGCCCTGCAATCCATCCTTTGACCATGAGGCGCAAATCTTTCATGATCTTTAAGCGGAAGACTTTGACAATTCTCGCCAGCCGAATCAGCCTCGTGAATCTCAGGAGACTGGTCCCAGCGATGTCACTGGCTTGCTGCGCAACAATCTGCAGCATCAAGTCGGTTCCTGAAGTCACTGCCAGGAAGAGGTCAAACCAATTCCAATATCTCTCCGGGCCACACCAATATGTGTGACACCGCAGAAAATGTATTCGAAACAAAATCTCTAGGACGAGGAGGACAGCGAAGGCGGTCTCAAGGTAGATCCATCCCTGCGCAACATGAAAATCAGAGCTGCGCGTCAACTCTAGTTGTTCCCGTTTAGGTCCCCCCAAATAGTACGGCACCATTATAAAAAGGACCCTGCAAGATTCGTAAGTCTGCTATGCCACTAGAGCCGAAGTCTCCCGGAACCACTTGATCTGGGTCCATGTCATGCCCTATGTGAAACTATGCTCGAACCATGGCTACGGCGGCATGATAGAACTCCAAGCACGCGGAATCCTCAAGTCAAGGAGGTGGCTGTGCCTCCCAGCCCTGGTAGTTGGGATCGGTCTGAAAGCCTATCCTCAGTTCCAAGTCAAGGTGATTTTTTTTCAAATCAGTTTGTGCAATCTTAGGGCTTTACCTGGTGCGCCACTCTCTCGTCAAGCGTGAGAGGCCTCAGTGACCTAAGTCCACACAGCCGCTGCCTGAAACAAAGCCCAGCGTCATGATCCCATTCGCCAGAATCATCAAAGCTACCTGCAGCAACCAGGGGTGGGGGACTACTGCAGACTTGGACTGTCAAGATTCCGAGGCCCTACGAGATCGGAATCGAGTCACGAAGGGCTCAATGTACATCAACGGGTGCATGGCTTCCTTGGTTCTGGCAAGGGAGTTTAATCTAAGTTACCATGATAGATCTAGAGTGAGCAAATAGTTTCCATATTCTAGTAACTTAAACCAACTTGGTTGGCCCCTCAAAGCATCTGAAAAATATTCGTAAATAAGATCCTCTTAAAACGACTAAAGGAAAACGTGAAAAACCTCCCAAAGGCCTACCTAATTAACTTCCTTAGCCAAGCTTCTGGAGGAGCGGCCAGGTCGTTGATCCTGACGAACGTCAACTCAGCGACGAGGCCTCGTTGGAAGTTGGGAGTAGTACCGTTTAGGGTTTCATGTAGGGGGGCTTAATAATTAGAATAGGGTTTTGGGGTCCATGATACTGGAATTTATAATAAGGAACCCCCTGTTATGCCCTGTAGACACTCCTGGTCCTGCCAAGCCGAGATTCGGTTTGCATCGCTGGCCAGTAAGATCTCCCTCATGGCTTTGAACCTTTTGGGTTTTGGGCTTAGGATTTAAGGGTTCAGGGTTCAAGGTTCCTAGTATACCCTTTCAGAAGGGTTTAGGAGTACAGTTTTTGTTGTTCTTCAATCATAAGGAGGAGGAATCCGAGAATGAACATGCCAAAAGCATACTACAGAGGAGCCCAGGAACTGTTGCAGCAGCGCGTTTGTATGAAACACCTTTCCTGGGTTGTAGTTTTGGGGCTCTTAAAAGTATCTAATGAATAAGTACCTCCATAGGAACCATACGAGGAATTTGAAAAAATCCCAAAGTGTCACATAGTTTCGGTGAACGAGCCCTTCTTCAGCAAGGAAGAGCTCCATCAAGGCTTGTGCGGGAACCACACTCTGCTCCAGTCGGGCATGCAGTGGGATATCCTTGGTTCTTCAAGAAGTTAAGTTATATTAATAGGGATTAATGGTTTTTATTAGGGTTTCCTTCTTGTGGGTAGGTTAAATCAAGCTCCTTGACAAGAGCCCAGTATCAGGACAAGGGGATGTGGAGGCGTCCCTCGGGGGCCACTGCCAACAAGGCTGCAGACCGATGAAATCCACTTCGTCCTGGAGCTTTGGCTTTAGATCACGGACGGGTTGTCTTGGCTTTAGAGCTCTGAGAGCCTCAAATCCTGTGAATGCCCACTGCCCACCGGAAACTAGATTGTGAATTCGCGAAGCTCTCACATGAGGTTGTGATGTGTGGCAAAGTCCATACAACCTGCCCTGCTCTCTAGCAGGATAAACTCTAATCCCTGAACTCTAGCATCAACGCAGCTGTCAAGTTCCGGATTCCGGTCCGTGGATCGTGCTCATGCCACGCTCATACACTGAACATCACCAATCGGGATTTGTATGGTCCGATTGTGGTGGAGTCTGTGACGCTTAACAAGGTCTCTTCTACAGAAAGAACTTCACAGATTGCAGACTCATGTTGCAAAGTCAACCTGGGAATCACGATCCCAGAGTCTGGGCTTGTGTTTTCGAAATTAATCGGTTCAAGAACCTAATCTAACTTACCAGAAGAAGGAAACCATGCTATTTTTCTAAACCCTGATGATGGCCCTAAACCCTAAACCCTAAACCCTACCTAACCTAACTTCCTTAAGAAGAGGAGTTGTGGTTCGCGCTCCGACGTCCTGAAACTTGACCTTCGTGAAGGACGCGGTACTCATGTCCTGGGTTTAGGGTTTAGGTCAGGCTGCATGTGTTCAAAAATAGGGCGACATATCGTGCGGAGATGAACTGATGTCCCCTCCTTGAAGTACAGCCCAATGTAGGATGCCAGGGCATTCACGAGCTCGTTCATGTCCTGCTCTGCGGAAACATGGAAGTCGACTACACTGACAATTTAGGACTTCCAAGACAGTTCTGACAGTGCTGGTCTAACTCCCGCCTCGACGCCATATCTCGTAAGGCCAAGTGCAACGACGGCATCATGAAGAGACTTCCCAGACACAAGCTGCTGATGAGGCAAAACTCCCAGTCGTATCCGCAGACGTTGGCCTTAGCGCAGACACGGGTTTCAGGGTTGTCGGGCTCGGAGTTGCAGACGCTTGAAGGTCATGTGATGATTGAAGTTTGGGGTCCTAGTCCTCATTGAAGGCTCTTTAGCTTCCGTTAGTTTTCAGCGTAGCTATGCGCAATTTCAGGTTCTCGCAGTTCGACACTCGAATCCCCCACGTTATGTGATTTAACCTTTGGCCGTCAATACCAAAGCAAAGATCACCCTAAACCCAAAGCCCTAAAACCCTAAAGCCCTAAACCCTAAGCTGCTTTTGCGAGGGACTCGTGGCCAGGGCTTCCGAAGGCTGCATGTGTTTCAACGCGGAGCGGAGCATGGCACTGGTTGTAGAAGCCGTCACAATCTGCAGGCGCAACGAGGGGATTTTCACGGATTCTTCAGGTGTTCTTTGACGGCTGCGTGTTTGGGCAGAGCCTCCAAATCAAGCTTCCATTCCGGGAACCCGTAGGGAAAAGGAAAGCTTCTAGCGGGGTTATAAGCAGATTTTGAGCAGCTTCGGGGTTCAGCAGAGATGGATGTGGCATCTCGACAGAAGCTCCTGTGATGCGAGGGCCGGGGGAATGTTGAGATGCCTCTGCGTCGATCAAGCTCATGTTGTCATCATCAGGTAGGCGCTTCAGAGACCTCTGCCATCAATGTTGCATTTGGCTGGCATGTTGACATGGGCTCCGAGCATATCTGCTGCAAAGCAACGACTGGTGGCTCATGGCTTGTGCAGGACTTGTGTCATCAAAGTCAGGGCGTACTCGCGCGGGAACCTGGCGAAACTGACCCGAGGGTGCAATTACGCTGGGACACCCGTTTTAGGCACTTCCGGGCTCGGGTGACGATGATTGTGCAAGCAGGTCGTGCCTGAGTCTGAGGGGCCTGCAGCTCCCTGCCCGACGGTGCCGTTCGGAGGCCGGCGACTTGTTCCGGGTATGCTGCGATCGCCTGACGCCAACAAGACATTGACGGCGCAGTAAGTTTTCCCAGAGACTCCAATATCCCTTAATTAAGGAATATACCTTAAATCATATAAGGGTTCCTACTATAATCTAAGGTATATTCCTTAATTAAGGGGTATTGGAGCCGTAGAGGACATGCCAAGTCGTTGCTCAAGCACTTCCAGGCCTGCCGTCGAAAGTCGTGCCAACACTGGTCCAGCAACTGGACGAACTGGTCTCTGTCCATGGCTCTGGAGCGTGAGCGTGCAAAATGAGATCGCTGAAGCTTCGAGATTCATGAGTTGCACAGTTTCACTGTCTTGCTTGCTGCTTCAACAAATGTTAGAAGGAGCTCTCCTCTCAAGCTGGACCTCGGCGTCGGTCGTGGATATGCATGCTTCCCCTTGGCCTGGCAGGGACACCTGCTCTAACAATCGCACTGCAGGTTGATGCCGCTGTCAACACTCGCACTACGCGATTTTTCAAGGCCGCGCTTAGAGAACCACGCTGCTCTGACGTTTCCGATCTGACTCCTGATCAGCGGCAGGGAACGTCACTTAGGACCTGACATGCCTCAGCACAGCCTTATCACTATGATTATTGCAATTACTACTGTTATTGTTGTTGTTCATACTATTCTTACTGAATTGATATTCTTAAAACCGCTCTTTGCATCCATTATTGTTCTTAGTATTACTATGTTCGGTTATCGTCACATTTGTTGTTGCTACCACTACTACTACTACTACTACTACTACTACTACTACCCTAAACCCTAAACCCACTACTACTACTACTACTACTACTACTACTACTACTGCAGGGTTTGGTGGTCTAGGACTTTGTGGGTTTTGGGAGGGGCTTAGGGGCTCCGGGTGTACGAGTTTAGGTGCCCACATGTTGAGACGGTTTAGGGTTTAGGGGTTTAGGGTTTAGGGTTTTGTCACATGAAGTTTCGAAAGAGATGCGACCGGTTTGTATTCGGCTCCGATTTCTGGAAAGACATTGTCAATGCGGGAGCGAGGGAATCAAGCTGCAAGTCATGTGGTTCAAGAATTAGACGAGGTTTTTGGGGGTTAATCATACTGTATGATGGCAACAAGGCATCCCTAGGAATGGTATTGCTAATTAGGTTTCGAAGCATGACAATAGCAATAATAGTGAACCCAAAGAATAGTACCACTAATTCTTCAGGGTTCTGTATGTGATTGGTATCGCGCAGCAAATCCGTAACTGTGACCCGCAGCCTTGACTATGACCGGCCGTGTCAATCGCAACAGGTTGTGGATGTACACGGTACACTGAGGTTCTTGCCAGGATGTTTGCTATGTATCGTGTGATCTGTTTTCAATCTGTATATACGTTCATGCATGTGAACAGATCGTGAGTGGTGCAGACTGGACTGTGTGCCTAGGGCTACCGCCTTTCATGTTGATGTAGGTGTACGATGGATTACTTACAGCTCCCTTCAAGTTGTCATCGGGAACTGGTGCTGGCTTTGTTTCTGGGAAACTACCTTTCTAGCTTCAATTTGGGAGTTTCCGAAAATTGGGGGTACCTTATTTTGGGGTCCTTATTGTAAGGATCCTACTATTTAGGGTACAATATTTGGGTCCCCTATTTTCGGAAACTCCCATTTGCCGGTTCTGGATGCCTCCAGCCTCTGAAAGAGTAGACTGAGCAACCTGGCACAACCTTGGACAGCCCTGGGTTGCTCTCCTAAAAGTGATACAGCTATAAAGTGACTGTAAAGTTCAACCAAGAGCCTGATGCCAATAGCCGCCATGCAGATCTCCGAAACACGTGCAACAAACAAAGCGCAATCCCACAACCTATCGACCGAACACAACCCAGAGACTCCAATATCCCTTAATTAAGGAATATGCCTTAAATTATATTTGGGATCCTACTACAATTTAAGGTATATTTCCTAATTAAGGGGTATTGGAGTCTCTGGGAACCATCCCACCGCAGTAGCCTCAAAGTCTGACGGTTTCTGCCAGATGGTCTCTTCCGATTGGATCTCAGCGGGTTTCTCAAGGCATTGACTCGGGAGCACGGGAGCTTCAGCTTTGATGGGTGTTTGCTAGCTTAGGTTGCGATGCTGGCTTCAGTTTTGGCAGTGGAGAGAACCGGCTAAGGTCAGCCCAGTGCTTGACGCATGTGCTACCCTCTAGCACTTCAGACTTTAGCCACACCCGGATACGCCGCTTCTGCTTCACACGCCTGAGTCCTACATCCTCGGAATGCCAAGCTCCGACGTCTGGCGGTGCTGAGCTGTCCGCATTGAAGAAGTAAGACGCACCGCAATGCACAAACTGTGCCCACAAGCCTTTGATGGCCACCTGAGCCACGATCTGGAACTGGGTTTGCGCACTCTTGGCAGCACTACAACATGGGGATAAAGATGTAGTCATGCTTGAAGTTTCGTTTCGGATGATCTGCGAACCTGCACGGCAGCTGTCACACCCGCTCTCGTTTCGCCTCGCCTTCCCTGAAACAGAGAGACAGCACCCCACTCCAGCAGAAATCGAGAGGACTAGGACTAGGAATGCCAACACGCAAGATGAAACCGATACCAACTACTGCGGCTGCGGCTGCACTGCCACAGCCACAACTACAATACCACTAAACTACTGCTGGTACTGCGACCCACATTCCTGCTACTGCTGCTCCTACAATTCTTTTTGCTGCAGGACGGTATGCACCGGAACTCTACTCCTATTCCTCCTCCTACTAAGACTACGACGACGACGACTACTACTTCCACGACTACGCCGCTACCAGTAACGAAGTAACACCAACTTTGGCAACCGCAAGAATTGGGTTTAGGGCTTCTGTCTGGTGCTTAGTAGGGAATGGGGGAATGGATCCCTATGATAGTCCCTTAAGGTCCCTTATAGTAGTCCCTATAACCCATTCCCCCATTCCCTACTAAAACCCAAAACCCTAAACTCCAAACCCTAAACCCTAAACCCCCAAACCCTAAAGACCCCTAAACTCCAAACCCTAAACCCTAAAGACCCCTAAACACTAAAGACCCCTAAACTCCAAACCCTAAACCCTAAACCCTAAAGACCCCCAAACCCTAAAGACCCCTAAACCCACTCAGCACCGGCTTGGGGTCTAGGGGTTCACATCCACAGCGTGGCCATTGCCAAAACTGCACATCGACCCGGAGGCTGGGGAGGATCCACAAAGTGGATCCCTTAAAGGGGATCTATAGGGTTTCCTCAATAGGCTCCTTTAAGGGGGTTCCTAGAAACTAGCCTCAAGTTAGCGGGTCTAAATTTTAGATCCTCTGGGGGGCCTGAGTTGCTGCCACATCGCACTATATCATATACGCTATGTTACATGCAGATTTTACATCAATTCTAAACATACGGCTAAGTTATATATCCGCACTGAGGCGTGAGCTTGGCGAGGTCTTCTCGCGACGAGCTCGGCCTCTGCCTGCTTCTGTGGTTTCTTTGCAACGCCCCGGAAACTTGGGAGCTTCACTATCCAATGAATACATACAAACCAAATGCTAGGGTCCGCGACCTTTATTCGATCACCCGTGCAAAATGCATCCGCCCGGACACAGCGGATTCCTTGGTATTGGTTCTCTCTGGCACTGCAAGGCTTCGCGATTGGCGCAAGAAAGACTAAACCCTAAACCCTAAACCCTAAAGCTCGACCCGCGATTCCCAGTTCCTCAGAGCCGCAGGCCTACGAAAAAGGAACCGCTGGAGGGAACCTGGAGGAAACCCTTTGAAGGAACCCACCATTATACTGTTGATGATACAAATCCTGCATTTCCTTTAGGACCCTAAGCTATGGGAATTATGGTATATTCCTTATTATGGGCAATGCAGGATTTAAATCATCAACCGTAGGAACCCTTTACGAGATCCTGCGTCCGCCGACCCATCCGGTGACGAAAACCTAGCATGGAACAAGGAATCAGGGTAATGTAGGAGCCTTTTTTGAGAAACCCTGGGTCCTTGCCGGGGGGGGGTTTCTTTCTCTGGATCCTAAGACATTGGGGTTCATCGGACAATCGGGCCCCTAAACCCTAAACCCGAAACGACATTACATGTCTTGGAGATCCGATCCCACCCGGCCGAGGCCTTCTGGGCGCGCTTCACTTTCCGGCTGGCGGTGCTGCGCTCGGAGTCGCTGGCTTCACGCCTCAGCTCTCGAAGGTTTTGGGCTCGCTTTCTGGGGTCGATTCTGATCGTTCCTCACCCGGTGCCACACCCCTTGTAGTAACCTTTATTAGAAGTGTCTTTAGGCATCGTTCGAAGGTGTTGGGGTGCTGCATAGGGTAAACACCCATCAGGAAGCATACTCCTTGGTCTGCACATGCTCAGCACTGAAAGCCTTCTCTTGTGGGAAACCATCCGTG